GTTAACTTTATATATTCAACTCCCTGAAAACTTGCCCAATATTGTTAAAACCACCACTAACGCTACAGCTTTGAAAAAAATCTTGAAAAAACAGTAACTTGATGTGCGATTCACCTGCGTTTTGACTCCCCACAATAAAGCCTTTTACAGGGTCTGCAACTGCATCTTATCATTTTCCAATTAAAGTCTGGATAACCCTACACACCGTGAAGAGAACCCGGAGCTGTGCCATAACGCTGCGTCATGATGTGATCTGTGCTGCCATCACCAGAGGGCAGTGCGATTACATCGAGTCATGGACCCAGAAAGACGAGACGTCCACCTCCGAGCAGCAGCAGCATCTCATGGATCCCAACACCACAAATGCATCACTTTCTCCTTCTGACACATTTGTTTTTATCAGATATAGCCTGTAAACCAAAGAATACAGAGACTCTGCTGCAGGTTTAATTTCTGTCACCACCATTTTGATAAAAAATAAAAAACAGGATAAAAATAAAAGGAACAAAAAGAGCTATTGTCATATCAGTGTAATCGCAGAATTGCTCTGCTGCTGAGCTGGCACGTCTGGGAGGAATGGGAGGAGGAGGAGGAGGAGGAGGAGGAGGGGAGCGGCTGTGACTCATCCAGGTGGAGATGACGAAGCATTTCCTCTCCTCACAACAATAAAAATGGCTGCAGGTGGGCTGTACCTGCAGTCATTAGGATTTAATGCAGCTCAGCTCGGTGAGGTTTGACTCGCGGACATCTTGGTCCAGAAATGTCAAATCCAGAGATGCACATGCAGAGAAATGAGCATGTTTACTGACATTTAAAGACATTTTTAGAAAAAGAAAGAAGAAATCACATCTTTGAGACGAGCTGTGTGATAACAGATTACATGGGAGCTGTGTGACGTGAAAAAAGAAATCCTCTTCGCCTCCAGTGCTGCTGCTGCTGCTGGTTATGTAACGGATGCTCGCAAGCTCAGCATCCAGAAAAGGTGTGCTCAGAGCAACGTGCCAATCAAATAAAAAAAAAAATATGCACACAGAGAGCCGGAGGCTGAGAGGCGAGCATGAGTGAGAATCATCAGAGGAAAGATGGATGAGAGTGGAGGGATGGTCGAGGGGCGGGGTTGCTGCATGACTTGAAAATGCTGCAGCATCCGGCGGTCTCTCCTCCTCCTCCTCCTCCTCTTCGTCGTCTCTCCATCTCGTGCACACCGGCTGTTTCCTCCCCCCTCTCCTCTCCTCTCTCTCTCTCTCTCTCTCTCAGTCTGCGTGCTGTAGCCCTGCTGTGCGATCCTCTCAGCCCTCTGTTGTAGCACCAAAGGGAGGACACACACTCTCTCACGCATACTCACAGAGACGCACACACTCTGACATCCCACATAATCTCTTCTGCACACTCACTGTAAGCACCAGCCAGCCAGCCAGCCAGCCAGCCAGCCAGCCAGGCCCGATCGGAGACAGGGGAGCCCAGCCGTCTCGTCGCCCAAGATGGATGTACTGATGAAGGGGTTCTCCATGGCCAAGGAGGGGGTAGTGGCCGCCGCAGAGAAGACCAAAGCAGGCATGGAGGAGGCAGCAGCCAAGACCAAGGAAGGGGTGATGTATGTAGGTACGTAACACAGCTGTGCAGCTGCAGGGGGGGAGGGAGGAGGGGGAAAATGGAAAGAAAATTGCCAAGTTTTAAGAGGAGATGCTTGTTTTTTTGTGTGCGTGTGCCTCGCGTGATTTTGCGCTGGTAGATGTGGGGGTCCCATGGGTGTCCATGTCTGGGACCTGTGAGAAGTAAAAGGAACAGAGAGAGCAGGAGGAGGAGGAGGAAGAAGAGGAGGAGGAAGGAGGGGATGGAGTGAGCACGGGCAGGACAGTGCTGCAGGACTGGTGCAGGGCAGAGGGTGGGGGGTCTGAAGATAGAGCGGGGCTTAGATGGAGATGGAGAAAGTTGGTGGAGGACTGGTTTTGGCTTTTGGTAGGGTGACAAAATACAAGAGGAGGAAAGAGGGACACTGCAGAGTCCTGCCTCTAGCACCTGTCCAGTGTCATTCCCAGTCGATGGTTTGAGGAGCAGTTTGCAGAGGGACGTCCGGCGCTCCACTCGGCGTGACCCCAGATTTGCTTTTTAAAATTCAGAGCTGACCTACATTTCATTGCATGCATACGCTCTGCAGTTCAACATATGAGTGCATGTGCAACACAGAAGAAAAAAAAATGTGCATTTCTTCTTGTTCCGTGGTGCTGCTCTTGTGTCCACACTCTTATTTTAGCTCCGGCAGCGACTGCGTCACATCTCAAGGTTACCCCGAGTGCCAGGCTTTTAGGCCACCGGAACCAGGGGGAGGGGGGCGAAAAAAAAAAGAAGTAGGCAGGTGGGTGGGTGGGTGAGGAGTTAGAGGAGTGGAGGTCTCCGTCGCTGCCGTCGTCTGCAGTCTGTCCCCCCCTCAGCGCTCCGGCTGACCGTCACGCAGCAGCTTTACAATCATAATCCTAACGATGGGAGGAAAAAAAAAGAGCCAGTGCCACAAGCTGAAAGGGGTGAGGAGAGGGGGAGGGAAGGGAGGGTGGGGGGGTGGAGGTAGACAGGGCAAGGATCACTTGAGCACTGCAGCAATTTGCTCTCCCATGGCCCCCCCACACCCACCCAGCCTCCCTACCCTCACCCCATCCTCGTGCAGATGCATATGTGTGTGTGAGAGTTTGTGGCGTTGCAGCAGCAGGATTTGCCTGCCAGTGAGCTCCGATGACTAACCACCTTCCTCCCTCCTCCTCCTCCCCCCACCACCACCACCACCAGCTCTTTGAACAACCCCCCCACCCACCCAGCCAGCCAGCCAGCCACCTCCAGGGGAAAGATGGCAGAATGGAGGGATGCAGGGAAAAAGAGGAAAGAGGGGCAGAGAGATGGGAGGGGTGTTATGTCACAAAAAAAAAAAAAGCTTCGAGCTTTTAGTCTCCTGCTTGGACACATGGAGGGACGAGAAGAGACAGACAGACAGACAGGTGACGTGTCATGAGGACGGCCGGAGAATGATCCAGAGAGTAGAAACCGGTGACGAGCTCAGGAGGTAGAAGTGAAGCAGGAGGCAGAGAAGGAGGGAGGAAAGGAAGGAAAGTGGAAATGCAGATCACAGGAGCAGAAAGAGAGGAGGGAGATGTGATCGGTGAAGTGAGGAGGGTCGATGGATCCGATAAAGCTTCTGTATCTGCCCGCAGCAGAGTGCATACATCAGCATCAGAGGTTCGCACGCCCACTTTCACACACGGGCCGGAGCCGGACGGACAGCGGGACATGTTCTGTGGTTAAATTAAAAACTCCCACAGGTCACTGAGCACAAGCTGCCACACAGCAGCTCTAAAAAAAGCCTTCACGCTGTTGTTTTTATGCTCCCGTTAACAGCTCCATGATAGGATTTCAATTCATGCTGATTTTACTGATGCATCAATTTAATGGAAGTTTATGGTCATCTGGGAATGACTCCGCTTTTTAATGGAGAAACAATATAGTAAAAGAATGATTCCCCACACTGATATGAAATCATTTTCCCAGAGCAGGATTTGTGCTTCAGCACTGCTGCGATTTAATGGAACAAATCCATCATTTTTTGCCCTGTAGTTGCCTTTACATCCATTATTAATAGTGATTAATGTTATTAAAAGGTCTTCGTGCAGGCTGTCAGCTTGCTTCCTCTCCTGCATAATTTTTTCATGTATATATGTGTGTGTGTAACTAGGAAATGAGGTCGTGCGTGCACATGTGAATGCATCTTTTATTTTGCTGCAAATGCATTTAAAAAAAAAACCAGCAGCATTCAAAAGCACAGGGATTTTCAGGGCTTTCATATCTAAAGCATAAATTCTGCTTTTGGAAAAATGACTCTGGAAAAAGCATTCAAACCCTCTAATCCATGCGATGCTCATTTATGGAGGCCAGCTTTGTGATTGTCGTTTATTGCCAAGAGTATTTCAACAATTGCTTTCTTGGCATTAAAGACGAGCAGCGTCACGTGCGTCACCTTCTGCTGGAACTGCTTCTGTCCAGTTCTCGTTCATGATTTATGGCCAGAAAAGGAACCCGAAGTTCTTTCCTTCTTTCATGCATGCAGCTCGTTCCGTGCAGACTTGACAGACGGATCATCTCGGGCTTTTGTGTCGATATTCAGAGTGCAGCGACACTCGGGGGGCTCCCACAGTTGACTAAGGGAAAGAAGCTGTGTCATTGCAGTGTGTGTGTGTGTGTGTGTGTGTGTGTGTGTGTGTGTGTGTGTGTCGGGCTGTACTGCAGCACTGCTCAGTACTCAGGCACGTGGCTCATGTGCCACGGGGAGCGTGCAGAGAGATGGAGGGAAGCAGGAGGCAGCGAGGATGGGTGGATGCAGGATACTGTAAATGGCAGCGTCGCATCTGTGTGGCACTACAAAGACAAGCACAGCCGGTCTGCTCTGCCTCATGTCGTCCTGCAAAATGCGTTCTTCCTTTCCTCAGTTTCCACCTTAATCCCAGCATTGCCTTTCATCTTTCAGAGCAGATATTCCCCTCCTTCTATCCCCCCTCGCTCTCTCTCTCTCTGGCTGACAGATTATATAACCACAATTTAATCTGCTTGGGATCATACTGTAATGAGCACAGGGCTGGGAAGCAGGGAGATGCTGCTGTTCACAGGATGCTTACGATAAAAAAAGAAAAAAAAAATGTTCCCATAAAAGTTATGGAGCCGGGGGGAGCTTTTTAAAGCTGCGAAACATCAAACACGGAGTTCTCAAAGTCAGAAAGGGAAAGGTAACAGAAAGTTAAACAATCTGAGAAGATTATTAAAAAGACGGGGAACGCTTTGAAAAAGCAGGAAAACACTTCAGTCACGCTGAAGGGGCTCTGAGCAAAACTAGGTCTTTAAATGTATTTTTAGACACAGTGATGGATACTGCTGACCCGACGCTCTCTGGAATGTTATGTCAGAGTGTTGGAGGGGCGACGGGGGCAAGAAATGGCCAAAAATACACAACAAATATGTGCTGTTGCTCATTTTCTGTTGCTCTAAGTCAAAACAGGCGACATCCTTTTATTCCATGGATGTAAACGTGCCACTTCTGAGCAGCTGTACAGTGATGCTGCATGTGATGTGCAGCATTATTATGTTTACTTTCATTAAATAATGCCAATTATGATTTCGATTAAAGGACAAAAAATGAATATAAAATGCAAAATGATTCAATAAAAATGAGAAATCAGCTAAATGGAATGAAAAGGAAAGCTGTAAAAACAGAGTGTTGCCTTTCTGTTCATGGATATGTGCATGAATTCTGTGCACGAGTGTGATTCTGACCTTTTTCTTCGGTCTGCAGGCAATAAGACGAAGGAGGGAGTTGTGTCATCAGTAAACACAGGTAAGAACAGCTTTTAATGCAAACCTTGTTCCGTGTAGTTCTGCAGATTTTACGAGGCGCATAACCAACGTCGAAATTCAGAATTTGCACGAAACAGCACGATGGTCTGTGGAGATGTTGGATTTCTGGCTTCAGGCAAAGAAATTCTGTGTGCATCAGTCCCACATGATCCCATAGAGAAGCACGGGGTGGCGCTTCTGCAGCAGCGGTGGGGCAGTTAACCGAGCAGTTAACCTTCATCCTTCTGCTATTAAAAAATCTGTAAAATACGGTTTGAAAACGTTTATGATGAAGCTCGAGTGTGGAGGCTCATTGCTGCACATGACTGTAGCTTCATTCCTCCCTCAGTGTCAGGCTAAATCTAACTAAACACATTTAAATTTAAGTTATTTGTACTTTACTTGAGCTTCACCTTTTTGTAAAGCGTTCCACTTTTACTTCACTACCTTTATCCTTTTAGTTAATAGTTACTGTGTAGTTTAAGATTCTCGCATAGCTCTGTCGAACTTAAATTAGCAGCACATACAAGTGAAATTAAAATTGTACACAACATCCTTTAACTGTACCTGCAAGTGTTCCAGGATGTTTGCTCAACATTTTATGGCTCCAGCTTCCCAAATGTGAAGATTTTCTTACCAAACCAAATCAGTATATTTGAATAATTGATCACCAAATTCATCTAATCGTTACTTTAACCAAATATTTCCAAATGACCCAATACAAAATAAAATCATGATTTTATATTAAACATGGTAAAAAAGAATAATCTAATGATATGTTCCGGTACGACAGTCACTCGGGACGTTTTTCTTCACTTACATATTTAATTGGACTTTAAATGCACGACTGTAATGAAGTACTTCTACATTATGACAGTTGCTTCATAAAGGCTCTGACCTCGGAGTGCTGTTGGGTGCTTTGGGGCCTATTTGGCCTCCAGCCTCAGAGCGCATTTACTCCGTGAGTCCATTACAGCTTGGAGCGGCCCACGTTAGACATAAAACACAACTCGTGCTCGGCCAGAGGCGTGTCTGAACGAAATTTGTGGTTTTTACTAAAGAAGAGAAAGAAAGACTTCACGGATAAAGACCGACGTTTGGCAGATGCATCCCAGTTGAAGAGCTTTTCTGTGGATTCCAGTGAAATGACGTATTTTACACATCAGAGTCACAAACAGCCTCGTGTGTGTGTTCTGAGTGTGTTTTATTCTACCTGCTCACCATCGTCCCTTCTCTCTGTCTCAGTGGCCAACAGAACCGTGGACCAGGCCAACATCGTTGGAGACGCAACGGTTGCCGGGGCCAACGAGGTGTCACAGGCGGGCGTGGAGGGAGTCGAGAACGTCGCCGCGTCGACCGGGCTGATGAACCAGGTCAGTTACCGTGGTAACGCTGCACCACACCTTCCACGGGTTTGACTCGTCGCCGGCGGCTCTGAATTGGAACACGGAGCAGGAAAACCAAATCAGTTTGTCACAACAGACTGAAGTTAAACTCTGCCTCAAACTAACCAGTCAGCCACTAGATGAAGCCATTTCCCCTTTTAACACGTCAGAGAGCTGCAGCGCACCGAAGTAATCAGATTACTGATGTCATACTGCAACACTGCAATGAATGTGAAATTACCACATAACCCATTTTTAGTCATATATACATGTATTAGGATAGAATAGAATTAATTGTTTTGCAAATGTTGCTCTGAAATTAATCATTAACCTCCCAGTGCATCATAGATAAATAAATCCACTAATATATGATGATGTATGATGTCATATTTAATATTATATCTACAAAATCTCTAAGAAAAAATTTTATTTTTTATCTTAAAGGTGGCTGATTTTTAAGTAATTTCTTTCTTTCAAACTTTTTGAAATCAGCACATCTGAGAGGGGGGGACTGGATCGTTTTCTGCATTTTTTAACTTGATAAATGATTTAATGACTAATGTTTCAGGACTATAATATAATATACGACTGTGCAGGAATAACACAAGCATGACTGTGGAGGTAAAGCTTTGTGTATTCTCACTCTACTGGTAACTATGCATTTTGTTTTGAACCAGGATAATATTGTTAAATTGTCCTATAAATGCACAAAAATACCAACATAATTCAATTTTTAACATTTCAAACCTGATGTTCCTTCTTCTGCTCTTATATGTTGAAACCGTGTCAGATGTTAGATGGTCTCACATCTAACATCTGTGTGTTTTTCTATTAGTTTGTGCTCCTTGTGTTACAGTACCGTGGCTTCTGTCTTGTGTGTCGTGGCCGTGTTGTGTTGCCGTTCTCACCTTTTTGCTGTGTGTGTGTTGTCTCGTTTGTGTTTCCCTGATAGGAGGAGCCTGTATACGAGGTGCCTGTTGGACAGTGTGGGGGTCATAGGTCATAGGGATACAGAGGGGGGGATACTTTGGCATGCTAGAAGCAGTTTGTTAAATTCAATAATGCTGCATTAAATCTGCCAGGTGGAGCTTAATGCAGGGTTGTTGTGTTGGATTGCACGACAGTTAGTGGTGCACAGTAGACCACGTGAGCATCAGGAGGGAAAATGACGCTTAACAAATTAAAAATTCCTGCAATGTTTGTGGCTTTGGAGATCCAAATATAAGACTGCATTAATATATATTACACTTCTTATTGCAATCATTCTCCTCCCAGATGCTCACCAGTACATGCAGTTCAGGCAGCGATGATACTAAAATCCTCCATTTCTAACCATGTAGCTCCCCTGCGTAACATTAAGTGACATACAAGCCCTCCAGCACATCAGTTAAGGCAGCCGATATGTATTAATAGCATGCACCCAGGCAGCTTCATGCACCGCTCAGGCTGTGCAGGTCCTACCCTCCCCGTGCTGCAGAGCTATAATCAACTAACCGACCTCCCCCGGAAGTCTTAAGCATGATAATAAGAGTTGATTCGACCGTGCAGCATGTCTTTAGTAACTGCTTTGTTATACCTGAGAAAGACGAGAGCTAGACGGATGCTTGAGGCCCTCCACCCTCCTCCCCCCTCGCCATCCTCATCCCTTTAATCCTCTCACAAAACTTCCTTCTCTGGTGGTTCATTCTCATTCTGGTGTTCTCGTCCTACAGGGAGAGTACGGAGGAATGGAGCAGGGCGGGGAAGGAGGAGAGGTGAGACAATGAAAGCAGCGACTCGGGCGGATCGAATTAGACTTTTTGGCGAAGCGCAGCGTTAATGTGAACGACCCTCAGAGGTGGAGAGCGATCGTTAGATGGATAATAAAAGTAAAACGTTTAATAAAGTCTTGTGCTTTATGATCCTTCTCAGATTTAACTTTCACAAGACTTCCATTCACTACATTCTTTTTACTACGTTCACCGTCACATTTAAATGCTACAGATGAAAATGAATAAATGGATTGTTAATGTATAAAATAAAAACACTAGAGGTAGCAGCAGAGCCTTCATGTCTAATCTGGTGATGCAACTCGACCACCAGCTGGAGTTTTTTCGGGTGGTGTTTGTTGTAGCCCTGAGCCAGCCAGAGATGAAGCTAATGAAGTCTGACAAGGTTAATTTCTTTTGGGATTTTTAACTTTCAGCCCCAACCAACTTAATTTGAAGCCTTTTTTTTAAAATGTCTGCATCGCTCCTTCAGTTGGCAGCAAAAGGCTTCATACAGCTTCATTTATGTATATGCCAAAATATGTGTGTGGGGGGAAAAAAGGAGGTTTTACACATTAATCATCAGTAATTTAAAGATCCGCTGCAGATATGTTTAAAAGCATATAAAAAATAGGGATCTGTTTTCACTTTTTACAATTATGTTGTGAAAAAATTCTTAAAAATTACATCCACACGTCCCAAACTGGGAAATCTACCGTCTATAGACACAGAACTCCCTGTCAGGTTGAATACTCTGCAGTGGATAAATGTGAAAACAGTTTATCTGTTTTAATCAGCAAAACCAAAGACTACAGCACTCTAGAATCGGTCGACAGGTCTTGCAAAGCGGAGAGGAGCAAGAAAACGAGCACATCTTTCCAAATCTGATCGAGCTTAGAAGGTAAATTCAGCTGTTTGGCACCGACATGCAGTCACAAAGGACCCGAAGATGACATTTTTGTGTACGGTGGGATCCACGGGTTCAGTAATAATATATGTAAATCTAAATCTGAGATGCTCCTGCAGCTGTCAGAGCAAGACTTCCATCAGAAATGTAACATCCAGAGCTAGATATTTAGTTTAGCATTAAAGGGAAATACACAGAAAATGTGTCACTGCTTTAACCTATAACAACATTTTTTATTATTATTATATTATAATAATTCTCCTTTTACTCACCTATCACATACGTCTGGTGACATGTCTCTGTCTTCTCCTTCCTTCCTTCCTTCCTTCCTTCCAGGGGTATTAGTCGTCTTCAGGACCCTCCCGTCCTCTCCAGCAGCCCCTTCCTGCCCCCCTCTTCGCCTCGCTGTACCAGAATCCAGATGTTCAACATATTTTTTTGTGACTTTATGGAACCAAAATCAACTAAAACAGACTCTTCCGGATGCTGCACCTCCTCAGCCCTCCCCTCCCCTCTCTCTCCCCCC